TCTCATTTAAAATTTTATATCAACTAATATACATTTTAATTTTAAGCTTTATTTTTATAGACATTAATTATGACGTATTAATTTAAAACGTGTTGATTTTCACTATATTTTATATTTAATAGGGGCGTGCATCGGGTGAGAAAATGAAGAACTCGATCAGATTTCGGATATGGAAATCAAGTCTCAATTTTTGGATTTCGGATCTCGGATTGATCCGGGTTCGGTTGGTTGGGTTTCGGATTGAGGTCAGTCGGGTTAGGATTTAGTTATAATGCAAAAAATATATATATATATCCAATCGATTTTGACGATGAATTCAATCGATTCAGATGATTGATAAATCGATAGTATGAATAAACCAATAGTAATATTCAATGATGGAACCGATCCCGTCATCCATTCGATTTGATTGAACGGATGACGAAATCCGATATCCAATAAATGATCAGACCGAATCAAATCAAATCCGGCTAAATCCATTAGATTTCAAACGATAAACACTCCTAATTATAATTATTTATAAAAATTCTAGAAAAAAATAATATCCATGGGCCATCTTGACCCGACCCAGGTGTTATAATTTAAAAATATTTGATTGGTAAAGAAAGTTGACCGTGGTGGGTTTCATTGAAAGGCAGGAGAGTGTGTCCAAATGGAACACATGCAATAATGACACCTTCCACTCACGTCCCCCATGACGCCAACATCATTCTATTTTTCTTAAATCTAATTATTTAATTATTTTCAATAAATATATTAATAAAATATTTTTTAGTATCATTTTTGGGTAATCTATTTTTGGAAGGGTGATTTTAGTATAAGATCTCTATTTTAAAGAATCTGTTAAAGATGCTCTACCGATTATTTCAGCTAGTCATATGCAGATTCCGCCTCCAAAGACAGAAGGGTGACTCCCTCTGTGGCCGAGGTCAGCAAGCGGCCGAGATCAAACTAGGGGTAACCTTTGGGCAAATGTCACTTCATCATTTAGCAATTGAACTACATGTTAATCGCTAAATGCTTTAATTATTAATTAAACTTTAGGAAGATTTCTATAAAGTTCTAAGATAAATTCATAATAACGATATTTTTATTTCGTGATTGTTTAATGTTAAAAGGATTAGATTTATAAAATAGAGAATGTATGGTGTTAAATTTTGGACATTTCAAACAGGTTTTATTTAAGCATAAACAGTATCGGGCTGTATGTATTAATCTGTCTATATAAATCCGAAAAGTTTTGTTTAAAATGATTTTTTAATAAATAGAAGGAACGTATGATTTGAATTTCTGCATTAAGCTCCTCGTAAAACCGAACTAAATACGTTACTAATTATATTATTAAGCTACTTTTAAACAATTATATCCATTTATTAAGTACAAAATAAAATATAAATTTGTCTTATTTAAATAGCAAAAATATGATTTGATTTGTTAAAATATGGACTTGATTTATTCAACATTTTTAATTCGAAATAATAAAATAATAATTTCTTAATAAATATCGTCATCTCAAACATCATGGAAGCTTATTCCAAAAAAGATGGTATCTAATATAAATAAATTACAATATATTAATTTTCACAACTAAAAGTAAATTATAATTTTTTTTAAAGATGTAAATTTAAAATTCTCAAACATAATCAAAACAATTACAAACAATATCTTAGATTACAATATAAAAATAAACAGAAATTCAAACATCATACAACTAACATCATAATATAATAAATAAATCATTAATCAGAATGGTTATATGTGGTCCTATTTAAGACACAAAATCTCACATCATACCCATCTCAACTTCCTTATTTGTTACATTTAGGATCCGTTTAGTTCGACGAAATATTTTTGTGGGTTTTAGATTTCGTAAAACGACTTGGAACTGAGAGGGTTTGGAATTGAAAGGATTTGAAATCTCTGATGAGTTTGGTTTGTAGGATTTGAAATAGAATTGAATTTAATTCTTTATAAAATCAAATTATAAAAATTATTAAATTACCTTTTTATTAATTAATTATTACAAAAAAGTGTTTTAAAACATATCTTAAAACATTATTACAAACAAATCATATGAAATCCTACAAATTATACTTTACTATCCGTATGAGATTTTTAAATCTTAAATGTTTAAAACTTATATTTTGGTACCAAAATGTAAGTTTTAAAAATACAATATCCAAAATAGGAATCAAGTTAATGTACGTTATTTTTTTTTATGCAATTTGCTCTTTAAAAATTGTAATTTCAGAAATAAAATACTGAAAAATCAAATTTAAACTATTGATTTTGAACTTTAAATTTAACAAACGTTTCACGATTTTGAATTTTTAATTCCACGAATGTTAAACGAGTCAATTATTTCATATATAAAGAAACTTGTTTTGACTTTGATACGTTGAAGTCATCTTCAGATCTAGAAATTAGGAGAATTTGTCAACGAGATAACAATAGAAGGTACTTGTGCAATGCAGCGAGATACATATTCATTTTAATGTTTCGTTTTACTTTTTATCTTTGTTGATATAATACGATTTATGTAGTTTTGAGAAAATTAATGTTTTTACTTTTGAATACAAATAAATTTGTAGACATCATAAAATTTTAAAAAATATATCGATATTAATATCAAATTAACTATTTAAAAGTTCTTGTTTTTTTATATAATTTATTTAATTCATTTTTTATTATAATTTAATTTAAATCAAATAGTGAAGTAATTTATTTTCACCTTAAGAATAATTTTTTTATAAAAATAATGGTTCTGTTGGAACTCGATAATTATTCTATTTATATTTTATATTTTTTATATTTTAAAATGAGATATTTATCCTCTATTTGATTATGTTTATCCGCAGTTAGTTATACGAACTCAAACATTGAGCTTTAATAAGTTGTACTTATGCATAATTTACTTGTAATCTTGAATTTTAATTAATATGCATCAATATATAGTACTTTATGTATAAAAAATGGTTTTTAAGAGGTTTTGTCAAATGCTTTACAATATAGTATATATATATATATATATATATATATATTGTACAAGAAATCGAAAACCAAAAACGACCATGTAAACTAAGGGTGTTTGTGGTGTACTTTGGGATCTCCCCCGGTTTTTATATATGATTATACACACATATATATATATATATACATATATATATATATGTGTGTGTGTGTGTGTATATTTAAAAGTATATAAAAATATGTGTCTTGGTATGATTGAAACAACAGTTTAAATTACAACTAACATAACCAGTAAAAAATCTGTTTAACATATTTGATTAATCAATAACTTATCACGAGTCAAAGATGTGTTCCATATGCAACATTAAAAAAGATACACCTAAGACCGTGTTCACAATTAGTTATTAATGAGATTTTGTATACATTTCTTACAACAAATATCATCCTTAAAATATCTGAATTTTAATGCAATCATGCATCATTTTGGCAACATGACCAAACATATAACATTTGATGTTGATGGTGAATTGACACAATTGTCCTTTTTCTTCATTCATAATACACTGATATTTTATGGGTACAACTTGTGACTGAAAATACCATGGTTCAATTAATGTAACCAGATATTGATGTTATAAGTAGCATTATAGTAACGTATCCAATCATCGTCTGATATTTTTTTGTTGGTTCTTTAAAAAGTTTTAATCTTTCAACATTTTTCTAACGTATTTTATAAAATGGAGAATTTGGACAAAATTATGCTCTCATAAATTTTATAAAACAAAAACAGCAAGAGAGAGTGTGAAATTCTCCAAATTTGAAAAATTCTTTGAAAATGATTATCATGAGTGAGAAACAAGTGTTTATTATATTTCCACCAATAAGAATCATTGATGTTAAATGTTTACAAGAAGGATACTCGCACAATACAACGAGATTAATTTTCATTTTAATGTTTAGTTTTTATTCTTCTCTATTGATATAATACGATTTTATGTGGTTTTGAGAAAACGTGATGTTTTTATTTTTGAATGAAATATAAATTTGAAAAAAATAAATAGATATTAGTATCAAATTAACTATTTAATAATTCTCGTTTTTATGGTGTAACTTTCTTAATTCAATTTTTTATATGTTACAACTTAATCATTATTTTAATTATAATTTAGATTTTCTATATTTAAAATGAATGTTTATTCTGTATTTAATTATGTTTATATGTAGTTAGTTGTACAAATTTAAAAATAGAGCTTTAATAAGTTGTACTTATGCAAAATTACTTTTAATTTTGAATTTTAAATAATATGCATCAATAAATAATACTTCTTGCACAAAAAAATGATTTTTAAGAGTTTTTGTCAAATACTTTATAATATAGTATAGATGAGAGAGAAAAAATATTTTATTATATATAAAAATATTTTAATAATATAATTATGTAATCAATGTTGTAATCTTCAAAATACAGAATTTGTTTAAAAACCAGAAACAAAATGATTATATTTCTTGAAAAACATTATTTGAAATTTTAGAAGGACAAAAAAGGTAATTTACAAAAAAAATATCTTCGAAATTCAATTATATAATCATTTTGTATTATATTTTGTTTTTTCCAGGAACTATTTCCAGCCTCTCTTTTATTCGACTTATTTTAATCCAATACGGTATACGTGTCACGTGACACATCATCCACCTGGAAAGAGATCAGAAGAGCCACGGCGCCACGTGTCATTATAAATACACGTCAGATCTGAGTCTTTCATCCAAAGGCCAGTTACAAATACGTCCTTCCATTTCATGACGAGGTGGTTTATCCATTTGCCACCTCAGTACTAATCCGCAGGGTATTAATGTAAATTACATTCCCACTTGAATCCCAATAATCAACGGTTGAGATTTAATCTTTTTGAGAGAGTGGTTTCACGTGATATCGATGCGCGTGGGTGAGAAATTTTGTTTATGGTAGTCCAGCACACATGTGGGAATACACCTCCTATAAAAAGGGGAAGAGGCGGGCAGGTGGAAAGGCAAAAGATTTTGGACGGCTTCTTCTTTGTACAAAATTGGAACACGAGTTATTAGCTATTACTACAACCTCCATAGCCGCCGTTGATATTTTCCGGCAACATGTGTAGAAGCCCTGCCTCACCAACGGAGCATGAATCTGATCATGTTTTAGGTGGATCTGTTGAGACTATTGTCTATATTTTAACATCTGGTGGTCGTCGGATTCCGGCAAACGCTAAAATTATGGTAATCTATCGCCTAATGTTATAATCGAAGTATCGTTCGACCGGAAAACTGAAGGAATATTGATTCAGAATTCTCGTGTGTGAAATTGATACGGTTTTTGTTTTAAAACCTTGTGGTTTCAGTTTTCCGATCGAGATATGATTGTTGAGATGCAATTTCAGTAACGTGCAAATTATTTTAGTAAGCTGAATCGGTTTATCTAATCAGGTTCATCAATTTCGATTATTGAAATATTCATTTGCTTCATTTGTTATGGAAAAATTCAGGCATCCGCTTCGCCGGTGTTGGAAAGCATAATTGATAGGCCGCAGAAGCACCGGAGTTCCGAGAAGACGATTTCGATCCTCGGCGTTCCATGTGATGCTGTAGATGTGTTTGTTAGGTTCCTCTATTCCACCAAGTAAGTTCCTAAAAGCACGCCAACAATTTTCGTCTTTTTTTCCCCTTCATTCCAACAATCATTATTTTAATTATGTTACTACTATTCTCAACAACAAATTCTCCATGGTCAACAGGTGCGACGAAGATGAGATGGAAAAATTCGGGATTCATCTGTTGGCGCTGTCTCATGTTTACCTGGTTCCACAGCTGAAGACGCGGTGTACCAAGGCCTTGATCGGACGATTGAATATAGAGAGAGTAGTAGATGTTCTCCAACTCGCCAGGCTCTGTGATGCACCTGACCTATACCTTAAGTGTATGAGATTGATATCCAATAGCTTCAAGGCCGTCGAAGAAACGGAAGGATGGAAGTTCCTTCAAAACAATGATCCTTACCTTGAACTCGAAATCCTCAAGTTCATCGATGAAGCCGAATCGGTGCGTACTCTTGTTATTTCATATCATAGATTTAATCTGAATATCAGCTGTAGCTAATGAACGAATCTGATTTGAATGTGCAGAGGAAAAAGAAGACTAGGAAGCATCTGCAAGAGCAAAGTTTGTATTTCCAGCTGAGTGAAGCCATGGATTGTTTGCAACATATTTGCACAGAAGGTTGCACAAGTGTAGGACCATATGACAAGGAGCCCAGCAAGAACAGGGCACCTTGCAGCAAATTCTCAACCTGTGAAGGCCTCCAACACTCTATTCACCACTTCGCAAATTGTAAGAAGAGAGTTAATGGAGGTTGTGTCCGGTGTAAACGTATGTGGCAACTCTTCAAACTTCATTCCTCCATCTGTGAATCACCTGATTCGACTTGCAGAGTTCCCCTGTGCAGGTAATTAACCATTCATTTCCTCAATCTAGCTTATGAAGTAAGATATGGGTTTTTGTTGATTTTGAGTGTGAAATGAATGCAACAGGCAATTCAAAATAAAAGGACAACAAGTGAGAAACAAGAAGGAAGAAGCAAGATGGGAATTACTGGTGAGAAAAGTAGTGGCAGCTAAAGCCATATCTTCTTTACCTTTACCCAAGAGGAAGAGAGATCAAGATCAAGAACAAGAGCCAAGATCATTCATAAACCATCATGTAAGTGTAGTATGTTGAAGGGGTCAATGAGTTGATTCGTGTTTGATTGGCTAATTAGTTGTTCCAATCTAGTAGAAGGGTAAAAATGGCGTTCTATTGGGGCAAACCCTTGAATCAAGTGAACCTTGATGGCCACAATGTTTAGACATCATGGGGATTAGAATTCGGGGTCGATTAATCAGTATGTCCCAATCCAGATGGTTAAAGATGGTGTGGTGTTAGTTTGTTGTTAGAAGGGTTATTGATGGGTGTTTTCTTTGATTTGTTGGGTTTTGATGGTGGGTGGAAAAAGCGTAGTCTTTTGTAATCGAGGCTTGGGGCTTTTGATGTATAAAGAAAGTAATTTGTGTACTTGTTATTATTTTAGGATGACCTGGAAAAGGAAGAAAAGAAAGAGAAGCATCTTATAATATTCTTTTGGTCACAAGAAATTGATTTTTTCAATATTAAATATTCCACAATTTCTGGTTGGTTCAAGTTTTTAAAGAGTATATAAAATATATTTGTCACACATGAATATAAAACACAACCTTTTATAAAAGTGAAGAACGGCTCAAACATCATAACCGTGTTTCAAGATACCTTTTTGTATCACCAATTTCGTAAGTAAATTATAGTTTTGGTTCATGTATTTTAATTTTAAGTTTACAGTTTTAACAGTTATACAATACATATCTATAGATATAGATGGAGGTTTAAATGATAATTTCTGTAATTTACAAGAATGCAAGAACAATTTACCAGCCTCAAATTTTTTTAATCAATAATTTAAATTATATTAAATACAAATAAGTTAATAAAGATAGTAATGCAATTAGGTATTATTGATAGTTTTTATTTTATTTTATTTAATTAGAATTATATCATCCTTTTTTGTTGGGATTGATCACGCTCATTGTATCACTTTCTTCTTTTTTCACTTTCTTATATCCTTTTCTTTCTATCGGTTCATAGTATTCAAAAAAAATTTCCGACCTATAATGGAGGATCTGAATGTTGTAGGTTAGTAATTGAGAATTTTGATTTTTATCACACGTGATAAACATCCAAATTTGAAATTATCTGAAGCTAGTTCTGTTGATGATGATGAAGGTTTGATAATAGTGTGATAATAATAATATTTCATAGCTTTTTTTCTAAATCGGTTGTGTTATCGTCAGAACTATAATGATATGAGTTTTTCTTATCACATGTGATAATAGGTATATGGAATTGAAAATGTCAATATTTTTAGTTGATTTATCGTCATTGGTACATGTTGATTTGAGTTTAATGTTATAGTAGTTATGTAATTAAGAATTTTGATGTTTATTCACATGTGATAAACATCCCAATTTGAAATTATATGTTACTGCAATCCTTGATGAGATTGATTATCATAACCATATCACACCAAATCGTGTAGTCGATTTCCTAAGTTAACCTTAGCTGAGTGGAATTCTTGATTTGTGTGATAATCACATGATTATCACACCTATATCACACCCAAATTACATCATATCTTGTTGAAATAAGCGATAGCTATAATAGCACATTATATTATCCCAAATTATCGGGTTTAATGTGATCGTGTTTTTAAATTTTTAACTTTGAATTCCAATATTACCTTTTTGCCTCTCAAATGTTTTTGAATTGTTTTCAATTTCATTTTTAATTTGAAAAATCTTTTAATTTTTATTGTTATCACAATATGAGGTTAATAGGTTGTTCTCGCGTTTTCACAAATCACATGAGTTTTCGTTTGAACCTATACGTACGTACATACATACATACGTACGTACTTACGTACATATATATATATATATATATACATACATATATATATATATATACATACATATATATATATATATATATATATATATATAT